TGCTGAAGATGAACAATCCGATATCTATAAACTTCGGCTCTTTACCAGTTTGTTAGTACATAGGAAAGAACAAGCAGTGGTTTCTTCTTCTTTTAAAAAAAAATCATCTTGGGGGCTCGTACATCTCTTATCACAATCCATACATTCATTGTGCCAAGCACATTTGCACATTTGTTGCCACCATCATTTTAAAAACATTTTCTTTTTACTTAAGCCCTCGGTATCAGCTCCTCATTTTTCCCTCCCTCTCCCACTCTCCCTTCCTCATGAACCCTCGATAATTTATAAATTGTTATTATTTTTTCATGTCTTACACTGACCGAGGTCTCCCTTCACCCACTTTTCTGTTGTCCACCACCCTGGGAGGGGGTTATATGTAGATCATTGTAATCAGTTTCCCTTTTCTCCCCCTACCTTCTCCTTACCCTCCTGATATTGCTACTCTCATTGTTGGTCCTGGGGGGTTTATCTGTCCTGGATTCCCTGTGTTTCCAGCTCTTATCTGTACCCGTGTACATCTCTGGTCTAGCCGGATTTGTAAGGTAGAATTGGGGTCACGATAGTGGGGGAGAGGGGAAATATTAAAGAACTAGAGGAAAGTTGTATTTCATTGGTGCTGTACTGCACCCTGACTGGCCTGTTTCTTTCTTGGGACCCTTCTGTAAGGGGATGCCCAATTGTCTACCGATGTTTCTAATCTCTAGGCCAAGAAATACCTTTCAATATTTTTATTTATTAATACATATGCACATCTGAATTTTCTTTAGCGTGGAGTAAAATAAAATGCCTCTGCGCCATTTTTTAACTGAGTGCTCCTCATCGTAGAAATGTTTGGGAGGCACTGCTCCTAAAAGAAAATTATCTTTACTATGAAGTTTCTTCTGCCTCGTGGCCACCCTCTGTGTTATAAATAACACTACTCTCTAGGATTTCCTTGGCTGTAATCCACAGAGCTCCAAATCTTTCTTCTGCAGCACTGGATGGGTTCAAACCAGCCCTACAATCTATTGACCTTAACCCCACATGCCATCGAGTCGAAAGCGAGCCTCAGGAAACAGGCGTGGTGAGGGCTTCCTGGGACCTTAGGACAGGACTGGCCAGTCTGCTTCAGGGTATCTGTCAAAAGTGCATTTCTGAAGCTCACTCGGATGGCTTTCATGGAAAACTGCCGAACGATCCAGACCCCCTTCTTTCTGGGATGTTCCCATCCCCAGTCCCTTCCTCTCAACTCCTTGAGCCCACAGCAATGTTGACAACCTCCTTCACCAGATCCTATATTAAGACTACGAGAGGCAGGTTCGTGTACAGGAAATATAACAAAAGAGGGACTTTCCTATGAGACCTTTAAAAAAGGACGATTTGCATAAACCATATTTAACCAGAATATTTGCTTTATGTTTTCCCTTTGTGTGTGCTTTGCTCTCCCGCCTGGCAGTCCCCCTCCCTGTCCCCAGCCCCAACTCGTCGGACACCAACGTCCTCACAATGGTTCATACTGGAACCTTCCTGGCGCCACCCTAATCAGCAAGCCTGCATGGTTACATTTACTCACCGACTCTGCTCCCTGTTTCCGGGTTCTCTCCACTCCAAAACTCGCAGACACTCATCTTCCCAGAAGATGGTGGTGCTCCTGTCCCTTCTTGCTCACGTTTTCCCAGAAGCCACGGGGATACTTCACCAGCAGTGGCCTGAGGTTGAAAGCTCGCTCCATTCCTGGTTCTCTCCTGGGCCAATAAACCCTGGCTGACACCTCCGACTTCAGTGCCTTTGTTTTAGATAAAAAAGACAAAAGAACTCCTTCCGGTTCCTAATTAGACCTCATCCAGAATCTAGCTTTGTCTCTGAATCCTGCTGCTCTTTGCCAAGTGGTCCTTCCTTCCTCTGAGGCCCAGAGCCTCTGAGCTTGCCCCCTCAGTGTCGCCAGGGCAGTTTACATTTCTTATTGGGCTTGCTTGTCTGTCTCCAGACGCTGAATCCAAGAGACGTGGAATTATCTGTTCCTCTGGAACTGGATGTTGTTTGCCAGAGGTCAGTGTGCCTGGGCTGAATTAGTTTCATGTTTTACTGATATTGCACTCAATTAAGATCTCATTTGTGATCTCTGTTCAGATAAAAAAAATTGATCTCCTCAGTGTCGCACACTTCCGACCTGTGGCCCTTACTGCCACCCTTGGCCTCCCTGAGAAAGTTATTTTGCACGTCTCCAAAGCAGACCCCACTCCTTTGTGATGTGATGAAAAATAGATGAGGCTTCAGATCCAAGTCATGCTGGGGAAATGGATTGTTATCCCTCAGCAAAGTTCCAACTGACTGCCAGCGGACTCGTCTTTTCGCTTCCTCTATTCTTCAAAGATCTTCGAAAATGTCCCTTTCCTAGTTTTCCTCGTCTGTGCACATGTCTCATCCAGAGAAGCAAGGCTGTCATAGAAACGGCCCACAAGCCATGACACGGGGCCGGGAAATCGTTTGGAGAAGTAATGAGATCCGTTTTTCTTTCTCAAAGCTGCCAGAGCTTCTTCACGTTGTGCGTTGCACGTCTTGTGTGCCACTCACGTGCAACTGGAGTTGATCGGTGCAGCGCCTGTCCAGCCTCACGTGACAGCCTCCATGCAAGAGCACGTGACAACCTCCATGCAAGAGCACGTGACAGGCTCCATGCAAGAGCTCCTGCCACCAGAAGGCCTGGGCCACGAAGCCCCGTGGAGGCCCCCTCTCACAAGGCACACTCAGGTAGACATAGCAACATAGACTTCTGTGGATGTTTAAGCTCCTTCAGCCACTTTGTGGTTTTAGTAATCATGCCGTGCTACATTCCGTAGAGGACCCAACCAAACGCAAAGTTGCTTTGTGAACTAAACCTTAAACATATGTATTGTTTCACCCACATCATATCAAAACGTTTGAGCTGAAGCAGCCCTGAGAGTAAGGTCTTTCATTTGCATCCAAATAGAAACACAGCTCTCATTTTTCATCACAGGACGTCAGTGCTGCTACCT